CTATGGGCTTAAGAATTTTATAATTTTTTTTTACTGATATATAAAATGCATCGATCTTTCTAGAACGGCTGCATGTATTTCGCTGAAAATTAGCATATAGATTTAGAACATAACCTGGAAGACCACATAGGCTACTAATTAAGTATTGTTTACTCCGTGCAGACGTAGTCGCAGGAGACAGCTAGTAAAATAAAATAGAAAGTAGATTAAACTAACATTTAGTTAACAATGTAATTTAACGGTTGACCAGTCGTAGGGCAATTATATAATAAAAGGATCATTGTTTAAATGTAACGAAGTACTCCAATATTGGATCCCACGTGTTTATCTCATAGTCATGGGAAAGCTATTAACAAGGGCGATATATCGATATCAATTATATGGCCCGGAGCGAGGGCTACACTGCTTGTTACAGGTAAATTATAGATTGACAAAACGTTGTTTAATATAATTGTTATGAGAGAATTTAGCTACTGTAATTGTGGCGATAAAAATATTTACGATAAAATGATGGCCATTGACGATAAAAATATTAAAAAAAATTAATTACTGTATCCATTCCCTTTTGTTTTAAGGTACTATGTTAAATATACTTTGTCTAGATGATGCTGCGATTTCGAGTTAAAAACAAATGAATAAGTAACTTATGTGTTCTTCCAGACTATGTTCAATATCTGTGTCAAATTTCATAAAGATCCATTGAGCCTTTCCGGAGATACCTTGTAACAAACACTAATTCATCTAAACTTTCACATTTATAATATTAGTAAGATATAGTACTTGCTATATATTGTACTCATGGGTCTATTGAAAGCAAAAGTCGAAAATTTCACTTTCGCTGGAACTAAGGGGCGAATGGAATTTGAGATTTTACGCTCTGCGTCTTTTGGCTTTCCCATAGACAAACATTCGAGGTCCTTCGCCCGTGACAGAACTTGATTTATCAGCTGTTTTTATGCATTTTACTACGAACTTTCTTACGAGGGGGAGGAAAATGTAAAAACAAACTAGTTACCTCAAGGGGTTAAAGGTTACACGAGTTTTATTAATTTTATTTATTTATCATAGCGTTAGTGAAGTGATAGTAAGAAAGATTTGCTATGAAAGTTTTTGAATGTTCTTGAAATTTATGTATTATACTTAAAAAAAAATAGTGTCCACTGTGCGTGTGTGTTTCCATTGTCGATATTATAATATAAAAACATATTTTCGTTCTAATTATTAAGATATCTTTTGTATAAATTTACGATAAGAGAATCTTAGTTGTTCAATATCATAGAACACGTCTGTTGAATTTATAAAGAAGCTCGACAACTTCATCTGTATGGATGCAATTATATCCAAATAGGTATGAGGAAGTAGTTCAAAGCTAAGACGCGTACTCGTTACTCGGAACTAAAGGTTCAGAGCTGGCCATTCGTGGCATTGGCATAGAAAAGCTTGTGAAACTTTACTTTTTATCGGCAAACGTTCGCAGCCGTTGGGCGCATTGAACCATATCTTACATTGCTTGTTTCCTTAGGGTTGATACACACGTGAGCGCGGGCGGTTTCCGTGTGAACTGTAACGTACTTTGACGCATTAGTCTCATGCCGGTGGTCACCGATTGCAAAATGTTAACAAGTGCAAGTGTTGTCTGCAATTAACAAGTGTCGTTGGAAGTGACTCGAAACAGGACAACGTGTAATTTGTGGCCATTTATTTTATGTGTCACTCTGTGACCCAGATGTAGTCTGTAGGTAGATTTGACAAACAAGGACTTGTAAATTAAACGATCTTAATTTATTCAATCGTATAGTTTGTCTTTTTGTAAAACAAATGAAAAATTAAAACGAAAAAAAAAACGTAAAAATAGAATTTTATAATATTTTCCAAGCTATCTAATTGAGTTACAAATTAAAATAATATAGATTTGAGTTGAAAATAATAATACTAAAGCTATACGCATCCCTCGCAAATGCAACACGGTAACCGAACGTAGGGTAGGCTATAAATATTGTGAAGCAGCAGATGCAGGGGAGACCGTTACCGGCCCCCGGTCTTTCCAAATTTGAAAATTCACAACACGTGCGCTGACAGCACATATATCACCCGCATTTAACAATTTTTACTCCAAATTTCGTATGTCCCAATAATTTTGTACTAAAGTATACTACCGAAAAAAAATTGTAACATTTTTTAAATTTCGAATAAAAAAAAATATGATAGCCATTATAAATATATAAATAAATAAACTGTGTACAATATACGTTTTTATTACATTTTATTGCATAAAAAGTTAAAATAATAAAAAATTTAATTTATTACTTTTAGAACAATATTGTTCTGCAACAGTGATCTTTGCATTACAATGACGGGAAAGATAGAGGGAGAAATGACAGTTAAAAAATCGATATGACCGTTGGCGGTGTCATGCGAGGGTGCCAACACAAAGGGCACGAGCCACTGCGCCCGCGCATTACGAATCACAATGCGGATTTATAAGGGACGTATGCAATTCGGCTACAATTAATAATATTTCGCGTTAGAATGCTGTACTAGTTAGATTTAATTATTTACTGCCGAGTTATTAATCTTATTTATGAGATTCTCGTATCACAATGTTAGTTACCATACTCCTCCGAACGACTTGATCTATTTTTATGAAATTCTATCAGCTTATTCAGGGTATAAGAATCGGTTAAATAAATTTCAACTGTTTTTAAAAGAGTTGTGGCAATTTTTTTGTAGCAAAAATGTTAACATTTAAAAAATTAACAACGGTCATTTAAATTATCGAATTGAAATCTGATCGTAACTTTAAACTAGAGGACAACATTTCAAATGCAATACTACAATACAATATTAGAAACCCCGCAGATGTCCAGTAACATTCCCATACGCAAATCAAATCGTAAAGTTCGATGAACCCCCCAAAAGGTATAATTATGTTCCGTAACAAGCAAAGGGACGTAAGAAATTGGGCGACACGATTATTTCTTAGACCCCCTACATAGTTTCTACGGCTGGTCAGTTCCAGACAATGAAACCGTGACCCCAAAGTGCGATTAGAGTACTCTTAGAAATTCATAGTAAAAACATACATCTGCCGAAAGTAAACGCTCTATTTCATGGTTAAGCGACTTGAAAAATAAATCTAGTAATAATAAATAATATAAATATAAAGAAAATTAACAGAATTAAAAATAAGTCGTTTACAATTCAGCGAATCTTCTTTATGATTTACCGCAATTAAGATAGAAATTAGGTCGCCATTTTGCAAAATGGCGCCAATTGACGAGTAGTGCCGAGGAGAATCCCGCGCGTGGGTGCAACAAGGACATGAGATATTTACTACGCAACGTACGTTACTATTAGGAAACATCAATTGAAATATTTATATTCTAAAAAAACAATAACTCAATGGTTGCGTGAATTCAATGAATTATGAAAGCGCAAGTAAAGTCGAAGAAAAATAGTTAGTTTAAACAGGATTTTTTTTTGATGCTTTGACAGTTGACAGGTAAAATTTAGATTTTCGTTTAATGCTAGTCATATATTTTCTTACGTTGCATAGTATAAGAGCGATCGTTTATGCAACGCATATTTATTCAGAGCGTAACAAATTATATCGGTAACGTTGTTGGCAATTATATTTGAATTACACAATCGATTATAAAAGCATTATCTACTAATATACTAAAATTATTAAAAATCTTATAAGAATGATGGAGAAGATTTGTGTATATTTTTTATGATAAATAAATTATAAAACTACTTTCAATAAACCTAGCAATATATTCAAGTGTTGCAGCAAATTCAATTTCAAGTAGATTATTTAAATTTGCCTAACATGTGTTACGCTTGTATTTAGCGGTCTCTACAAGTGATATTATGACCTACATAATCCGTTTGTTTATAATATTCCTTCGCTCCCACACTTGGCCTATTTTAGTTCGCACATGTGTGGGACCACGCGAATCAGACTAATCCGTAACAGACGTAGTAAACATTATAATAAATTGCTAATTATAACTTTATAGCAATCGTATTAAATTAAAAAAATTGTAACCAGGAATCAAATCCAATACCGTTAAAATCCGACACCCAACATCTTAACCCTTTTTGTTTTTTTTACTGATCAAATTCGCTAAATTAATAAGCAGTACGACAACTTTTTCATAAGTAAAACAAGCCTGTACCGGATGTCAAATTTAAAAGCAACTAAGAAAGGATTAAGTTTTAATTTTTAATTACAATGTTATAAATTACGCAATAATAGACTTCCTACTTCGAACCTTTATGAAGTTAACACCCAATATGGACAAAAAATTGCCGGTCGACCTTTACTTTAATAAAGGAAAGTAATCAACAGCATTGTTCTGGTATAAAAGGGTTATAACACAAAAGATTTTAAAACAAAAAAAAGCCCTAAAGACATAACTTGGATTTACATTAATAAACAAACGCGTCAAACATTGAATGATGATAATTTGTACGCAACGAGCTGGTTTTTAAGACTACTCCATAATAAATAGATATTTTCTAGTACAAAAAAATCTGGATTTCATTCGAAGATGATGTTTAAAATATTTTTAGTAGTTGTTCAGTATAATATGTACAAATGTATCACGAATCACTGAACAAATAAATTATTATGTTTGTATGCATTAGTAGGATCAACAAAACAATTGCATTGTCCGATAAAAGTCGCGTCGAACACAACGCTAAATGACCTTGAGTTTGTTCCATTCTGTTACCACGTGCTATTGCACTAACTCTAATAATTTCGCAAGCAATTTTCTTACTTCACTCAAGGGATTTAAAGACTAAAATTGTTTCCTTTTACATATACGGATAAATCATAAAAGTCAATTAGTCAACCACAGAGCGAGATAGAACTAACGTGACGTTTTACAGAATGTTTATTTTTGTAATTACGCTTGTGAATACAACAGAAGTTGTTGTTATAGCTACGAAGTTAATAAAAACATCTATGAATGTTAGTATTGACCACTGACCTGTTATCCTTTTTTGGGTTTTCGTGTTCTCTGGACTCGCCACTTGAGTTTCCTGCGAGGGTGTACTCGGCTTGGGTGTAGCGACCGTGATTGGTGCTCTTCTGAGTGCCACTGGGATACTCGATATAGGGACCAGTTGCCATGCGAATCTCTGCGGCCCCGGTAAAGGTTTCTCATTTGCGAAATCGAAGCCCCATCTTTGACTGTCTAATTCCAGCTGCCGAGCCAACTCACGTTCAACAAATCTCCTGTTCTCTTCTCTGTCGGTGCACCCAAATAAGTTTCTTCGCACTGTGTCAATATTAGTGACACCGCGCACTCTGAGAGACCTTGTGTCCAGCATGGTGGTAGCCTGGATGCCAGGGGCACGAACACTCAACGTAGACATCTTCGAAACGGAGTCCAATTGCACAGCCGAACACAGGGCGAACGCACTCCCCGATCGCATCCGCGACGCTCTTCGCCTAGCAGAAACCAAAAAATATTTGTATTTAGTTTAGTAGCGCGATTAACTTTACACCGTAGTAACTTTAAGGTTCATCACGCACTAATAGTTAAAGTTGATATCTAATAAGAGTAAACAAAACGTATAAACGCGACGCTACGGACGACGGTAAAATACGTCCGTACGCACGGAATCAAATTCTCGACTGCGCAATCGAGGCACGCGTCACCCTGTCCGCGCTCCGCGGCAGCGGCGTGGAGCTCCGAGACGACGCGTTCTTTAGTTCCCCTTTTTGCCACAGCGTGGCGCTGATACTCGTGGTATTCAGTAGAAGTATTATATCACCACATGACCAGATTATTTTAACTAACTCTGTAATAATACACAACTTTCTTAGATTTTGTCTAGAATAATTTGGCAACTAATTAATATTGTCTTGTGATTTAGAGAGATAGTTTTACTCGTATATCAAAATTTTAATTATATTTGATAATTTCGTTGGAAATATGTCATATAGAATAGAATTACTACCATTTGGAGTGGGAACCTACAAATAAACAGAAATAAATAAATTGTATATTTAAAATGGACCTATATTACACTAGATACAAATTAGTCCATAGGTACGAAAATTAATCAAATTTGAAATTTAAAAACCTTATAATTATAATAATTTATATATTTGTATTTTATAACATAGGTCTTTCATTACATCATAAATATTCCCCAAACTTCGGGCGGTATAGTTGTGTAAAGAATGGCAACACTGCCGTCGGACTTGTTTACGAAGAACGAAGACGTGTCTAGTTACGTGTGCAGCATACTTTAAATCTACTTATCGGAAATATCGCCGTCTCTTTTGCTCTTAACTCAAACGCACGGTGTGAAAGGAGGACAGAAGATATATTAATAGTATTTGACATCGCCGCCATTTTGCCGATGCAAGACTGACTAGATTTGTATGGTACGATTTAAACCGATTATTTTAACTTTACAGTATTCGTTTCAAGACATCTTTTTAAAAAATAGACAAATATTTATTACTTAAAATTATATATTATTATCAAAATGTAGCTCGGGTGTTCATGAATTCTTGTTCACCGTCACAGCAGAAAGAAATTGTGGAATATTTCCGATATATGTAGACTTCTACTCGTGTAAATCAGAAAATAATATCGGATGAACACTTTTTATTGTAAATATTACAAATTGTTACTCACCTTTAGATATATACTATGATATTTCACGGAAAAATCGTCAATTAACCGTCGGGGTTCACTGCACTGTTGTACTAATTTTTGAGATATGACAATGACGCGATGGCGAGAACGCGGGATCGACGCTCATTGGTGGAAAATGGCGGCCACTTGTCTGATTGGATATGCGATTTTAGGCGGCAAATTTCGGTTGGTCGAGGCAGCGGATGGCGCGAAATAAATGTAAGACTTTCCGGTGCGCATAAGCTTTGTTACGGAAAATCTTATTTGGCGCCTTTTTGATCATGAGTGTTTTCTTATTAAACCGCTGTTGGTACATTTATTCAACTAAATTCACGGTTTAGTTTGTTTTAATATAAAATAGGTAGGTTTAAAATAGCATTTGCAATATATAATACGTTATTATTCATATTTTTAATATTACCTTCACAAAAACGAATCTTTTTTCATTTAATTACAATTGTCTGTTCTGGTATTTTTTTTATAATATTTAAGAATGATGGAATTTATCATGACCACTGCATTGATTTGAAAAATATCAAAATACAGATTAAAAAACTACGAGAAGTAAATCCTTTTTTTAAATATGTGATAAAACAAGCAAAAAGTATTTAAACCTATAGCATATTTACAATAATTATAAAATTAATTATGCACCTTAAAATAGTAGCATTATTGAATTCAATGAATTTGTAAGTTTAACCGCCAAATTTAAATTTCTATGTAATTTCAGGCAAATCTGACACAATTTTTGTTTATAAATTGCCCAAAAATTACAATATTATTTTTTAGCAGGCGCTAAAATTATGTATTTAGGATTCAATATATTTTTATAAGTTAAAATGCTAAGTTTCAGGGCATTTGTATATAATCGATGTTTATAATTTATCACTTTACGCTAACGGAAACTTATGCTTTACCGAACGGTAAACGTACAAAAAGCGTTTCCGTTCCAAGCAGATGTTTTCAGTAGATGTTCGAATTTTAAACAAAAAAATAACTTTCTTCGCAGTTGCATAGTTTCATCTTAAAGTTTATATGGATATCTTATTATATTGCGAAAATAATATACTTTGAGAATGTATACATAGAAAATATTTGAAATATTTATTTGTCCGTTCCGGCTTCGCATCGATGGAATTTATAACAATACTAACAGTCGCCCGCGACTCCGTACGAGCGGAATTAAAAAGATAGTAGCCTATGCGTCCTTCCAGTCTATGTTCTATATCTTTACCAAATTTCAGTGAGATCCATGCAGCTGTTTTGGAGGTATCGACGAACAAACGTCTATCCATCCATCCATGTATGCAACCTTACATCCAAACATTCGCATTTTTAAACATTACTAGATGACGCCCGCGACTCTGTTCGCGAGGAATAGAAGAAATAATTGCAGACTGTTCTACACCTTTGCCAAATTTCAGCGAGATCTATGCAGCTGTTTTGGTTATCAAACAAACATCCAACTATCCATCTATATAAACATTCGCATATATAATATTCGTAACATATTTCCTATAGATATTACCGGAAAGTAAATCTTTATGGTCCAACTGTAAATCGTGTTAATAAAAACTAACAGGACGCAAGTCGCGAGTCGACTGTTTTTTTCTCCAAACTTAAAATTAGTGTAGGATTTAACCGCGTTAGATGATTGATCCAAAACACATTTTCAGGCCACACTTCATCCTTGCCACAAAAACTGTACCCTCATCCGACCAGCTGGCAAACACAGATTACGTGCGTTTCCGACTTTTTTTTAATCTTGTCAGAGTTATGCAAAATGCATTTGCTACGTATAACAATATCCGAAGTTATATACGTGGTTAGGTATACGATATTTCTATTCAATACTTAAAAAATTCCGTTCCATCAATAGCCTAATGGTTAAGGGTACGGATTTCCGATCGGTTTGGGGGTTCGAATCCCGTCATTCGACTTTTGTCGTAGACCATGTCCGAGCACAAGCCTAGAGCTTAGTTGGAATGGTAAAAGAAATATTAGTAAATTTACAAAGATCTGTTAATATTTAAAAAAAATCTTTTAAACATTTGCAAATTGCTGTCACTATCTTACTTCTTACTAATATTATAAATGTGAATGTTTGGATGTATGAATGTTAAAAGGTGTCTCCAGAACAGACTATAGATCTCGATGAAATTTGACATAGTTTTAGAACATTGTCTGGAAGGACACATAAACTATTCACCCTGGTAGTTTTTAGGATTCCGTACCTCGAAAGAAAAAATACGGAATCCTTAAAGGATCACTATGTTGTCCGTCTGTTAAGACCCTTTTTTTAAATTTCGCGCGGACATCGCGTACGAAAGCTATAGTTTATATTTTCCGTTTCTCAAAATAAAATATTCAGCTTTTTAATATTTATGTATAATAGCATTTAAAGATTTTATTTTAAGGTAACCACGCAACAATCCTAGAGTAAGAAGATTTTTTTTCTACTATAATAAACTAATTTTAGTCCAATGGTTAGGTTAAATAATCGTGACTATAATATACTCTGTTCTTCCATCAGGATTGATTCTAATTAGTAACGCGTCGTATAAAAAAAAGATAAATACCAAAATCAACGCATGACGTCTCGTAAGAATTAAGGCGGGTAATACACACAGGAATGGGCACGGTGTGCCGTGTAATTGATAGAAATTGTGTAGAAAATTCACGACCTGTACAGTCGTGGAGAGAAAGATTTTGGTACATTTTTATTATTATTTATACATGTAATAGAATTATGACATGAAATAAAACAATTTAATGAAAATTGATTGGTCTAATAATATAATATAACCTTTTAATATAATATTTAATAAATAAAAGTTTTCATAGATGTAGCAACATTTATTTGTTCAAAAGATTTATTTTAAATTTTCAAACAAAAATTCTTTTAACTTATGTTGTACTAGGTACTTAATATCTAGTAAGCGAAAGCGTTCCCGTGGCGCCCGCCATAATGCGTCAGAGGGCAGTCAGGTTTTAGTGGGTATTCTGGTCACCTTCTGTGGCCGGCGAGTCCCACACTCCCTACGCCGTAGGCGTGCGTAAATGCATTTCCTGACTATAAAAAAAAGGTACTTAATATCTTCTTACGACTACTTAATTATAGTTAGATTAATTTTTAGTTAAATTAGCTGGGATGATTGAAATTTGCGTAACCGATGACGCGGACCAAGTTAGCAAAATTAATTACCAGAAATTATCAACTTTTGATCTCTGTTTCAGTATTGTGCAGTTTTAGATAGCAAATATTGTCACTAAATACGATTAGTTAGTAGTATTCAATATATACACGCATATAATATCTATAGTATGTCTTATCAATTTGGTCCCGGACAATGAATGATGTCGGAATATCTCTTCCGCGCTAACTGGGTCATCCAGTTCAATGGCATTATATAATGCGATAAAGTTTTGATGCATTTAATTGTCATTCATAACATTTTATCTTAATACACCATTCAAGAAATTTGAAATTGTTTCTCGACTGTAGTATCTCTTGAATGGACACATATTTTCGTCTCTGGTTTGTCACAGAGAATGTATGGGATGCAGTCCAAACTCACAATAATACAGTTATAGATAGATAGAACTGATTTAATGTTTAATCGAAACAGGATGAATACGTTATTTAAATGATTTATCTATTTTCATCATCATCATCAGCTCACTATACGTCCCCACCGAGGGTCTCGGAGCCTACCCTAAGTTAAGGATGATTAGGCCATAGTTAACCACGCTGACCAAGTGCGGGTTGGTTGACTTCACACATATCTTTAAATTTCTTCTCAGATATGTGCAGGTTGCATCACGATGTTTTCCTTCACCTTAAGAACGTCGGAGAAATGTACATATGTAAATCGGAATTCGAACCCAGGACCTGCAGATTGCAAGTCAAGTGCTTGGCCACTGAGCCACCGACGTCTTTATCTACTTTACAATTTGAAATCAAAGCGTTTTGTTAGTTTTCTGTTTTTTAATAATATTCTACATATTTG